AATGCCATTGTAAGAGACAGGTCTTGGCATCTGGGATCCATCTGGAGCCACACAATTCAGTGGACTATTGCCAGGGCCTCCTGCAAAAGTGAAAGTACGTTAATTTAAAACAGCAATCTCAGCAAGAAATCGATGCTGGTAAAGCATGTCATGAACTCTGCCATATAATACGTACCTGCAGACAGTTGTAGTCAATACTGTAGAAGTCCTGAGAACAGTTCTACCCTTCCTGACCAAACCTGGCCCTCAGCTGAATAGCAACATGGAGGAACACAAATTGTGTAGCACTACAGGCCACTCAGCTGGTGTTCAGATTAGACAAGTTTTACTGTACAACCTAAATGGTTCATTTCTAAAGAAGGAAGTCACAATTTAAAGAATTTTTCTGTATTTACAAGTAGTGGAGATTTCTTAAAAGTTTATTACTTATTTCTAAATTTACTAATTCATTTCAAAAGGCTATAAGTTTTAAAAAAAAAACATTTCTGATCTTTGGTGTGCCCACTACAGCTTTAATGGAATTCTGCAGCAGTCTGACTGGGATAACATTAGGGTCTGCTTGACTGGCCACCCAGACACGGAATCTCTCGGGGTTTGGTTTTTCTGCGAGGAAGGACTCCAGGTTGTTGAGATTGGGGCATTGTGTGCATGGTTTATGTTAACCCAAGATCCCTTCAAAAATAGAGAAAAAAAGGAAATGATTACTTTCATTATGTAGTTAATTATGTAAAATATGAACATATCAGGAATTCATCAACATTTTCATGATCTTCTTTTCATCTCACTGACCGCCTTTCGTATAATCATTCAGTCCTTGCTACGTGTAGCCTGGGAGTTATCTGTTACTGTGATCATATGACGCTGGTGTAGGATCCCTAACTCAGAAAAGAAGGAAATGATATTTACTAGTAAACATCACTCAAACAATCTTCATAATGTAGAAGCTATTGCATTTTTATATTAAAGAAAATCTTAATTTGAAAGAACCTTTCTCTCGCTGAGCAACTATGGATGAACTTTGTTGTTGTTAAACATTGATGTATGTCAATTAATCATAACTACTCATACATGTACCTTTTACTGGGGAAAGGGTGCCTAACTTCTCGATTTACCATTAAAATGCATGTTTACAGATGTAAATGAAATTTTGATCGTGTTAACAAGCAGAGTATCATTGAGAGGGCATTATCAGAATTCTCATTGATATTCCTTTAATTTGAGTACAATACAACAAGGTAGTTACATGCTTTATATATTCTATGTAAGACATTTGTGGCATGTTTCTGTTAGGTATAAGGGAAATTGCCCGACCATAAATGTAGTAGGCTTATCCAATTTCACTGTTACTTTCTCATTTTGAAACCTGTTAAAAATCTTTCAAATTATTGTCTTTTGATGAGAAATGGTCACAAATAGGGTATTTGTGTTTATCAAACACATCTTGCTATCTTTATTTTGGTAGGCTAAATGTATTTCCTGTGAGAAACGTTCCAACCTTTAATTAATTATTGTCATATACAAATTTAGATTGAAAAATTCTAAATTTTTGTAGAGGACACTGATGTATAACTGTAATAAGTATAAAGTATTGACCAGTGATGCATATTTTTCCCCACATTTTTAATATTCTGTTGACATTTTGAGATATTTGAACAGATGAGCTTTTTTTTCAAAGGGCACTACCAAACATTTTCAGATGGGGGGGGGGGGCACTATCAAGCAAAAATTCCTTGACAAACAAAAAAAGTCTTCAGACGTTATTATCTGGGGGGATGCATAAGGTAACTATGTTTTTGATAGTATGCTTTATATCAGCAACAAGGCCATGCACCTCGGTTCCTACGGGCATGTGTACAGCTAATAAAGAAATACAAGTAGTAGGTGATGCATACATGTATCAACAAAAAAGTTTGATCTCAAATGACAAGGCGAAGATACCGAACAGTGAAAAATGAAATCATAGTACAGTTTAAATATATTGATAGGAAATTATTATATCTATGATTTAAAATTCTTTTTCAAAGTACAGTCAAAGAAAAGGTTTTTTTTAATCAATTATGTAAATTATTTTGAAATGAAAAAATGAAACTTTCAGTTTTCTTTCTTTTCAGAGCAACTATACTGTTTAGTCTTTTTGGTATTGATTCACATGAAATTTTATTTCATTTTGGCTCATCTGAGCTGAAAGCTCAACTGAGCTTTTCTGATCACCCATTGTCCGTCGTCCGCCCGTCCCTCTCTCCGTCCGTCCGTCTGTAAACTTTACACAATTTTGACTTCTTTTCAAAAACTACTGAGCCAATGTCAACCAAATTTGGTACAAAGCATCATTTGGTCAGGGGGATTTTAACTTGCTGAAATGAAGGTCCATGCCCTTTTACTAGGTGAGATATAGACCCTGAAAGGTGCTACTACCCCACACGCACGCTGCACGAACGGTACACGCTCGTTACACGGTTTGCACAAAACGCTACAATGTTTACACGAAACGCTACACGGTTTACACGAAACGCTTTGCACAAAAAGCTGCACGGTTTACACGAATGGCTGCACGAAACGCTTTGTACATGTTTCACACACGCTTTGTACACGAATCTCGCAGGCTTTGGCCTCGATTTGGATTTTCTATTCGGAATCTCTCGAAAATTATTAAAATTATTAGGGATTAATCATAGATAAATTAAGGATCGCAATCTTTCACAACACGTTAAGTTAAAACTCACTACACAAATACTACATAAAACGATAGAAATATTCAATGGTAATTAATAATTGTCAATTCCTATTTAATCTCCCGATCATCGTTTACGTACAAACATTTTTCTAGCGTCTAAATTACTCAATACATATTTGCCATTCATAATCTCTTACAGCATGAAAAGATTTTTACAATTATGCTATTATAAATAGAGGGGAAAAAATACTCGTTTTCTCACTGGAATATAAACTCATTTATTGATTTTTATTTAAATTATATTGATGAAATTGTGTTTGATTTCCTTAAACGGATTAATTTTGTTTTTGATTTAGTAATAAAATAATTTTATTCGATTAATTCAGGCTATGTTTATGATGCAAAGTTAATTAGTAAAATGCATCAAACAGAAACATTATGCCGGACTTTTACAGGAAGGGGGGGGGGGTAAATTACCGAGTACCGAGATCTTACAAGGCATTTGTTTCAGCAAATACATGTATGCTATTGGGAAAAAATTAAAAATTATTACAGAAACAATTGCCTGTGCTAAGAAAATAAGAGTATTCACGTCTCCAGCGGAATCAGATTAAAATCCATAAAATGCACTTTATTGTGAATGGTAAATATAAAATTTCAATACAGAGTTTAATTTAACATGAAATGAACACATTTTCTGCAAATCTTTATTTTCAGTAGAAAAAAACAAACAAACGAATGTAATATGCATTACCGCGTAGTTTTATTTTGTTGTTCCCGTATTTTTTTCACTCTTAAGATACCGACAGTATACTAGCTGTATCCGAATAATATAAGTTACAAACAGCACAATTTGTCATCCATCAATAGCCATATTTTAAAATTAAAATGACTGATTGCACTCTTAAAATACCTACAGTATATTATATATCCGAATAATATATTACAAACAACACAATTTGTCATCCTGACCCATCAATAGCCGTATGTAAAATTAAAATTATTTTTCTGTCTCCCAAATGATTCACACAACGTAGACTGATAGATAAAGATTTATTGTTGTCAAAAATATCGTAAAAGCTACAAAACAAACACGAACTTACAATAAGGTACAAATGTAAAAATACTGCGATACATGTAGGTTAACAATGTAGGTCAAGTGAACCGAAGTGAACCGAAAAATATAAACAATACACAGTTATAGACCGAAAAGTTTAAAGAAATCAAAGTAATGCAAAAGCTATAGAAAAACAATGCATAAAGTACATATATGTTCACTTACACTGATAACGACTGTAAGTTTGGACAAGAGTCGAAAGAAAGAATGCCTTGGAACAAAGGAAAATGTGCAAAGCTATAATTAGCTCCATAAGTTAATACGGAAGACGGTTATAGGCAATTTCAACAAAATAAAATGATTGAAACGGATAGGATAAAAACAAAATGCGCTCTACCACAATGACTTACTTCCGAATGAATCCTACACGTTTTTCACACCATTCTTACATGAAAGTCGCAAGTTTCTCACACGGTTCTTACACGAAAGTCGCACGTTTCTCACACGCTTCTTGCACGCTTGCTACACGGTTTGCACGAAACGCTTAGGAGCTTGCACGAAACGCTACACGGTTTACACGGAACGCTACACGGTTTACACGAAACTCTACACTGTATGCACGAAACGAAAAGCGCACGAAAGTCACACGCTTTTTTGGGGTAGTAGCACGTTTAAGGGTCTGTAATAAAGAATAAACAAAAATAGAGTGGAGTCATAAAAAATCTTCTTCCCAAGAACCACTTGGTCAGAAAAGGTTAAACTTATATACGGTAAAAACTTTGTATAGTAGTGTAAATTCTAAATCGTTCAAATCATGTCCCCCAAGGGTAGGGTGGGGCCACAATAGGGGGTCAAAGTTTTACATGGGAAAATAAAAAAAATCTTTTTCTTGACAGCCTCTGAGCCAAAAGTGATGAAACTTCTCTGAAAGCATTCTGACATGCAGTGTAGATTCTAAATTGTTCGATTGATCCCCCCCCCCACCCCCCACCCCAAGATAGGGTATCGAGATCATCATAAATGTTACATATGAAAATAACAGTATCAAGTGAGTAACAGAGCATTTGATGTCATAGTAAATTGGAGTGTTGTATTTAAGTTAAATGTGGTGTTTTTGTCCTTATGCAAAAACACCACAATCAAATCAAAATATATATTTTTAGTCACACTGTTGTGTTTTTCGTAGTATTTTGATTTTTGACGGATCGGGTTTGGTATTCCGAATATCACAATATGCGATATCAGAATGAGGCTCTTTCTTCTTCACAG